ACCTCCACAAATACCATACCTTCCTAACCTCCAAATCACAGGACGAGTCTTTCTACTTAGCTCTTCAGTAGTGCTAGATATTCTTGGTCCTTTGCTTTTGGATTCAATTTATCAAGTCAATCAACTTTCATAATTCAGTTTATTAAAAGAAAATAAAATGCCCTGAAATGATTCTCATCTGAATAGCATTAAATATATAAATCAATTTGAGAAGAATTGGCATCTTTATCACATTAAAGTCTTCTGTCCACAAGCATGAGATTGCTTTCCACAATTAGCTAGATCTGTAAATGCTTGGCATACTTTTATGTTTTTCTTATGGGTCTTGCACTCTTTTGTTATATTTTTCCCACTTTAGTTTTCCTTTTAATTTTATCATAAATGGTATTGTGTTTGAACTGCTGCTGTTACATAGGAGTATAATTTTGCAGCAGGCTACCTTTCCTCAACAAATAATTTCAAGAGATTGTGTAAGTTTCTTTTTTATTTTTTAGATATTTAATCTTCTCTATGTTTCATGATCTATGACAGTTTTATGTTCCTTTTCTTTAAACCGAATGTATTTTATTTTACTATTTTGGCCTTATTATACTGGCTGTAGAATATTGAATTAACGTAGTCACAGCAGACAACTTATGATATTCCCAGTCTGAAAAGGCAAGCTTTAAATTTTACCATTAAGTAGAATGTTTTCTGAGTTTATTTTAGATACCCTTTGTCATGTAAAAAAGTTCCCTTTGTTCTTAATTATCTAAGAAACATTTAAAAATCATAAATGAGCCCTGGCTGGTATGGCTCAGTGAATTGAGTACTGGCCTATAAATCAAGGGTCACTGGTTCAATTCCCAGTCAGGGCACATGCCTGGGTTGCAGGCCAGGTCCCCAGTGTGGGGAGGGGGGCGTGTGAGAGGCAACCACACATGGATATTTCTCTCCCTCTCTTTCCCTATCTAAAAAGTAAATAAATAAAATCTTTAAAATTTTTTAAAATAATAAATGTCTAATTTTATCAGATTCATGAACTACATCTAATGAGATCATATAGTTTTTTCATTAATTGATTTTTTAAAGATTTTATTCATTTATCTTTAGAGGGGAAGAGAAAGAGAGAGGGAGAGAAATATCAATGTATGGTTGCCTCTCGTGTGTCCCCCACTGGGAACTGGCCTACAACCCAGGCATGTGCTCTGACTGGGAATCGAACTGCAATACTCTGGTTTGCAGGTCCGCACTCAATCCACTGAGCCATACCAGCCAGGGCTCACTAACTGATTTTCTAATGTTAAACCAAACTGTATTCCAGGGATAAATTCAGACTAGTCATACTGTGTTATCCTTTTGTATGTTTTGCATGTATATATTATCATACAATCTTTACATCTGTTTGAACCTACATCAAATGCATACAATTTTAAAGTTGTGGAGTAAAAGAAATATTATGTATTTTAATTTGTACATAATAATATAACCCCACCAACTTCTTTTGAGATATAACATTCTATAAGTTTAAGGTGTACATTGTATTGATTTGGTATATTTACATATTGCAGTATGACTGCCACTGTACCTTAGCTAATTCCTCTGTTACGTCACATAAGTATTGCCACGTCCAGTTGCCACGTCCAGTTCCAGCTCCAGTCATGCTGTCTGACAAAGTCCGAGTGTGGGGAATATGGCTTCCAAGAAGCATATTCAGGCCTGGAGGACGTGGCATAAGCGGATATATAGTGTTGATTCTGTTCTTGCTGTCTCTTGATGTTCAGACATTTACTTTTCTAATAATTTGGAATCTCCTAGAAATGATGGCCATTCTCAGAGCTAATCAACAGCTAGGTCAGACTGAGAACTATGCCACCTTGGCCTTTCCCCAAAATAATATCCTCTCAGGGGGCCCAGAGGAGGAAAGGCCCATAATGTCCAGTGAATCCAAGGGGAAGAATATTTCCTTCCCTGACCGAGTTAAGCAGATGCAGAACAAGTTAATACTAGGTAGCAGGGAGCCAGAATTACCCAGAGCACTCCCCCAAGTTAATCCCCTCCAATAAAATAGCCCCTGAATATCTAAAAGTTGTTGGAGTAACAGCCCTTCCTTTACCTTGAACAGGAATATATATTAATTAGAATTTAGTAGACATAGAAACAGCAGAAGCTTGTCAGATACTATAAACTAAGCATGTAGATACAATTACCAAGGAGTTAGAGTCCATAGTACATAGAGAAACATTTTAGACAGAAAGATAAATAGCTAAGTTAGACATCACAAAGGCCTTATAATAAATTTTCTAACCTCTACTCGGTCTAGCGTACCTTTTGCCCCATGCCAAATTTTAGACCTTTAATAAACAATAAGATATTTAAACTCTGTACATAGTTATTTCAAATTGTCTGATTAATGGTTCTCCTACTCAAAACAATTTTTGTATAATATAATTGAAACTATGGAAATTCTTGTACTTTTCCTGGTTACCTTTGTATTGATTTTTTTTCTGCGTAACTGATCATGCTATACACCTGCAAATGTTAATCACTACCTAAAATGAAAATATAAAAACCTGCTTGTACTTGCAATAAACGGAACAGAGCTTCACTGTCCTTTGAGGCTTGTTGTCATCTGTCACCCAGCGCTGACGCCTACCCTCACTTGTGGGACCCCTTGACCCGCTGCGGCCAGACTGTGGCAAAGTATAATTTCTTTGTTGTGGTGGGAACAATTAATATCTAGTTTGTTAGCGATTTTGAAGTTTATGGTACAGTATTATTTATAATTATTATGCTGTACATTAAGTATCAAGAACTTTTTATCTACTACTTGCACCCACCAGCTCTATATTAGAAAGTAGTGGATTGGCTGAAAAATCCCTTTAGTTTTTTCCTTAAAAAAAAAGACGTGTTTTTCATTTTCATCAATACTTTTTTGATTTGTATATTTTTATTATGTTAGCTGTGTCCTATATAGTATAACGTTGATTGTTCTCACTTAATGTGTTCATTTGATCGATATCAACTCCAACTGGTCTACCCTACCGTGGAGCATCATCCAGTGAGAAATCTCAAGTATGAAACTTCACAAACCACTTTTGACACGTTCGATCAGTCATAGCACTTTCTCTGTGCAGTGCACAAAAATTTTTTGAGTTTTAGTTGTATTTTCACCTTTCTTGAAATAATAAAGCGTAATATACCAAAAAAAGTTGCTTATTTTCTTCCATCTTCAATATCGAAATGGCTACACAAGAATTCACCAATTTTGATAAGTTTTTTTAATACACACTGACATGACAGTTGTCACAATGTAGTCTAACAAAATTGTTTCAAATGAAGTTAAAGACAATTAAGACTACTAGAGCCATTTTATGGAAAAAACTAAACAAGATTTTTGGCCAACCGAATATTTCTATGATATATTGCTTTTTGTATCTTTTTGTTTCAAATGTTATGAGCTAAGTCCAATCTGACAACCTTAACCTTTTTTGATAATTAGAATGTGGTTTAGTTATTATTATTTATATATGAAGAAACTTACTGTGTTTTATCAGTAAACTTAAATAGTAAATCCATGAGAAAGGGTGAGCTGAATAGGAATTAGCACATTGTAATGGCTATGAGTTTCTTTTCCTTTTTATTGAATTTATTGGCGTGACACTGCTTAATAAAGTTGTATATTTCAGGTATACAATTCTACAACATAGCATCTGTACACTGTATAGTGTGTTCACCACCCCAAGTGATGTCTCGTTTCCTCACCATTTATCCCCCCGAACCCTCTCCTACCTCTGACACCCTTCCTCCCCCACAATCACCACACTGTTGTCTATGTCCGAGTTTTATTCTTTTTTTTTGTTTTGCTCAGTCCTTCCATACCCTGACCATGCCCACCAAGCCCTCTCCTCCAAGAGCTGTCAGTCTGCTGTCCATCTACGAGCCTCTCCCTAGACAACTTTCTTTTTTAACTGAAGCTTTACTCTGATTATATTTAATAAATTACTCATGTATTTGTTCCCGTAACATTGAATTTTGTGCTTTTTAATTGTACTACATGATTTATATTTTTTCTCCTCTTTCGTGTAAGTGTTAAGGCTATAAGCCTTGAAATGGGCCTACTTTTCATTATCATTCAATTTAACATATTTTCTCATTTCCATTTATTTCTTCTTTGACTCATGCTGTATTTTGTAATAGGTTTCTTCTTTTCTAAAACATGGACACTTTCTAGTTATATTTCTGGTGTTGATTTCTGGCTTATCTTCCCGTGGAAAACGTGGGAAGGAAACTCGTCCTGTAGGTGTTGTGGGCTGGGAGTTGTTTGTCCGGTAGGTTAGTTTGTTCTTTTTCAGATCTGTCCTATCTTTAGCCTGTTTGTTCTGTTGAAAACCTAGAGAACCTGTGTTAAAATTTTCCACTACAATCACGGATTTTTCTGTTTTATCTGTATTTGTCAGAACATACTTACTTCTTGGTCTTTTCACACCTCTGTGCAGTGGTTTCGCTGGGGTGGCTTTTTGAGAAAGTCAACAAAGCCTTGATGTAATACAGTCTTGACCTGCTCGGTTTCCATGATTCTGGGGACTGAAGCAACTCTGGTCACATCTACGTTATCTATTATCCAGAGTTTGAATGAGCCATGTTAGGTGAAAAGGTCCATGGGTATTTTGAGGTACACTGCTGGGGCCTGTGGTCCCCACCTCTGCTGTGCAGGGGGTTAGTTCACATTATGCATTTGGGGTGTTTTCCTTTATTGGTTAGCAGTATAGCTCTGCCTAAGCACGGGATAGCTGGCTCCTCACCGGGTTTTGGTTGTACAACAACTTAGTTCTATCCCAGTTACTATAACTAGCTCATCAATGGTTTGTATTTCTAGATTTAGGGATCTCTGGTCAAGGTCTGTGTCAACAGCTTTACAGGACAAGGAGGTGAGCGCCCAGAGAAAAGTCGTTCTTTTGAATACAAGGATTCTTTTTAATGTAGTTAACTTCCGAGGTTTCTCTCTCTTTTATCTTCAGTTATTTGAAGGAATGAAGGCATTTCGAGGAGTAGATAATAAAATTCGACTCTTTCGGCCAGACCTCAATATGGATAGAATGTACCGATCTGCTCTGAGGGCAACTCTGCCGGTATGTAAATTTAGGGATTTCTTTGTGTTTCTCTTGATGTAATGGTTCACTGTGAGTCTACTACCAAAGAAATCACTTTTGGAATATTTATATGTTCAATACAGACCATATGAATACTGGAGTTATGTCTGACTTACTTCGTAATTAGTGAGAAAAAAAGGAACCAATGCCAATGGAAATTCCACAATCTACTTCTTTAAATGTCTGTGGGGAATTAATGTGTATGTGGGAGACAAGAAGATAAGCAATAAAAACATGCCTCCAACTAAAATAAATACAAGTTAAAGACTGTGTGAAATTGTAACACTGAAAATGGAACATGTGGTATACAACATAGGTATTTTGGGGGTATTTTGCCTAATTACAGTAGACACTAGCAAGTGGACAGTTATTTAATTAATTATTTTGACATTGTACCCCAAGTTTTATTTTTAAAAAGTGTCAAAATGGTTTGTTATGGCCATTGGATCCTGACATGGTTGTGGAGCAGAGTTCATTATAAGGCGGGTTAGATGTCGATGCTAAGATTCTCGTGGATGTGGAGGTGGACTCTACTTCCATTCCCGGAGATGTGCAGGCCACCTTTCCGAAGTGAAAGCCTTTTCCACATTCTGAGGACCACATTCTGGGTCCCTGGCCTTCAGGGAGGCAGTCCAAGCTGTGCATTAAAGATGCTAAACCCAAGTAACTGCTCCCTGTTTGCCAGGCTCTTCAGTTCTCCCTGTTTTTGTAACCCAGGCTCACCCACCTCCTTCAGAAGCCATGGTAGGATAGGGGAGGGAAATTAAGGTCGGTTCTTTGCACTTGGTCCTGATTTCCTTCCTCTACCATTACAGGTGGGTCACTGGGGAAAAATTTAAAGTGGGGGCAGAAGGAAAGGGAAGTAACGTTTATTGGATAGCGAGTCTGCTACAAACTGTCAGGTAGTTTTACATTCTTCATGTCTGTAATCGCAGCAGTGAGCAATTGTCAAGAAAGTATGTATTATAAATTCTGACAGCACCTTTGTTCAGAGAGGAGCGCTCAGGCCCTGAGAGGTTAAATGACTTGTCTAAAGTCACACAGAATGAATGGTAAGAAAGTGTACGCAAGTTTTAAAATTCCTAATCAGGTTCTCTTTCCACTAAATCTTATCTCTAGACAGCAGTGCCAGAGACCCAAGCAGGTGGAGCAGGGTGAGGCTGTGTCCTGTATGATCGGCCACCCCAGTTTCTGTAATATTCCCACACCGTGGTCACTGTTAGAATACAAAGCTAAATCCTGAGGTCATGGGCTCTATGCAGGTGCCTGTTTCTGACTTATTTCTCCCCTGGGTAGCCCATCACATGACTGAAAGCATGTTTCTCTTTCATGCCAAGTGAGTAGAAACTACTTCTTTGACAAATTGTCACCCATTTAGCCTATGAAAATCTATTCCTCCTTAGAAATACACTACTCTTAGCTTTTGCCCTTTTTTTTTAAAACTAGGTAATATGTCTTTTTCTTGCTAATTTTTAGGATATGGTGACACATTCTAGTACAGTCCTTTGTTATGTTACAAATAACTTCACTTTGCTGCTTCTTACATCTTCTGACGAACGGAAGTGCTTAAATTTTAAGTAGTCAAATTTTATCTGTTTTTTATGAGATATGCTTTATGCCTCTTACTTAAGAATTATGTTCTACCTTAAGGTGACAGTGGTGGTTGTTTGTTTTTTTTAACAAAAGTCTTATATTTTACACACTTAAGTGTGTGATCCAACTGTGGTTGGTATGTGGGTGTGGTGAGAGGTAGGGATCCAACTTAAATTTTTCACATGTGGATAATCCCTTGCCCCTTTTTAATCTGAGGGGGAAAATATCACAGGAAAAAAATCTTGTTTGGTTTTATTATCTTTTTAACAGCCTAAAGCTCTCATGAGGATTATTTCCTATGCTCCAAATGAAGAAAATTTCATTATGTATTATGCTTTTTATTACTTCAGGGATTTGACAAGGAAGAGCTTATGCAGTGTATTCAACAGCTGGTGAAACTGGATCAAGAATGGGTCCCCTATTCAACATCTGCTAGTCTGTATATTCGTCCCACATTCATTGGAACTGAGGTACCAGCCCACTCCCTGTTTTGGGATACTTTGGTGGGGATGTTATTATTGTGTATTCTTGTATGAGACTTTCTAGTGTGCGGTGTGAACTGGCCCCCACTATTATCATTAATGACTCCTTTCTCCTGATCATCACGCCCAGGTGTCAAAAAACGTTTTCGGTAAAGTGCCAGAGAGTAAATATTTTAGGCTCTGCAGGCCATCTGGTTTCCGTCACAGCTACCGAACTCTGCCATTATAGCACAGGAATAGCCACAGAGCTGAAGGTAAATGAGTCAAAGGGATGAGCAAGAAACAAGGCTGTTTGCCTTCCTCTAATCAAGACCAACCGTTATCTCCTCAGTTTACCAGTCTGGTCCCTCTGGTCCTTCTTCAGGCCTAGAAATGGTAATGGTTTTGAAATTTCGAGGAGGGGGAGCTGCTTCTTTTTGTTTTCATTTTCCTGAAGTCTTGGGTAAGGAGTAGGAATGAAGGGCCCTCTTCCCCCATAACCAGCGAGTTGGGATTTCTGATAAAAATAGTATGTTCCCGGGGGTGGGGGGGGTGGGGGGGATTTGAAAAACAGTTTTTTTAATAAAGTTCACATTATTAAGCAAAATACTAAACATTAATACGTGAACCACTTGTAAAACATTTGAATTAAAAGGCAAAATCACTTATATTACCAAAATATTTCTCAGATTAAAAGAGAATTTCAGAATTCATTTTAAAACACGTCTTTGGAAGTACTTATTTATAGATAGTCAAAAACTTTAAGAGAAACTAAAAGCTCGAGTGCTTCAGACTGTCAATTGCAAATTATGATAGAATCTGAACTCATAATATTTAAATAGAGAATATCTACACATACATTTTTTCTTTACCAGAGAAGAAGCCAAAATTACATGATTGTCAGGTTCAATACTGGATATCTAGTAACCCTACATCTTAAAAAGCCAAGGCTTGCTGAATTCCGCATCTGTTCTATTCGACCTTGCCCTATGTAGTAACTGTGGGCAGGTGCACACACATGTGCGCATGTGCGCTTCTATTTCCTCAGTGTTTCCGATAAGTGGACAGGTGCTCTGACCACAGTCAATAGCAGAATATGCACAATCACAATCTCTGAAATTCCTTTGGTTGTTGCTTCTAGCCTTGCACTTATCCACTCAGTCCCAGTTCATGACTCTCTCCTCTCAAGAGGTGGTTGGAGTGAGGCAGGACTAAATATCAGGGCTGAGAGTAAGTGTCATTAGAAGGGTTCAGTCTGATGGTAGGGCCAACCCTCCAGGCCGTCTGGGGCCAGCTCACCCAGCCCTTTGACCGGGTCCCAGGCTGTCGACACACATCTGCAAGCTACCAGTAGATCTGACTTTTCACTGCACTCAAAAGACAGACTGACCTTGCCTCATGTGGGACTTGATTCATTCTTCATATTCACGTAACTCATACATCCACAGTAGAGTGTCCCTAAATACATTTCTGGAGTTGAACTCAGTGAGAGAACTGACCTGCTTTTGGTTAATACCAGCCTCAGGTGCACAGAATGCAATTTGAATAATGCAGAAACATTTTAAGTCACTTCATATAGACAATTTCTCCATTCATGACTTGATTGGAAATCTTTCAGTATGAAATTTTCATTAGAGCTCACATTTAAAAATCTTGCTGCCAAAAATAAAAATCTCTTTGATTTGTGGTTCACTCCACAGGGAACTTAAGGGCATATACATTTTACAGACATGTCTTTTCTTTTCCTTTTATCACCTTGTAAAATAGTGATATTACACTTACAGTTTAACCAATAATCTTAAGAGTTTCATAAAAAGAATTTCCTTTATTCACTGTACTTATTTATGCTTATATATATTATCTTTTCTCTCACAATTAGCTTCTATAAAGGAAGGAAACTGAATAGATTTGAAAACAAGGTGTTACAGGAGCAATTTGTAATCACTAACTTGGGTTTGCCCACTGTTAATGTATGCTTCTGCATCCTGATTTGAGACATTTTTATGTATTCATTTTACTGTTTACAGACTATTAAATTCTCATTTGCATAACTCTGTGAGCATGTTTCATATCAACAGCCCCATTTAAGTATCTGCAAACCTTGAGTCTGTTTTTAGAGATCCAGCTTATTTGCATTGATTATAGTGTATGATAATCAGCTTGTTATTATCAGGCTTATCAATGGACACCTTTGTGAGGCTGTTCTCGTCCATTTGAACTTTATCACGGGGTGATTGTTATTATCTTTATTTTTACTTTTTGGAGTAATGATGCACCTGGTTATTAATTACACCTCTCAGTTCATGGCACTTTCTGTCATGGCTATGAGGTCCCTCTGGTTTTTTTTAATTCCCTTTTGTCTGTATTTTCCATTCTTACCCCATTGGAAATCATTCTCGTGTATTGAGTGAATATTCTTTGGTTTGTTTTCTCATGTACTGAATATTCTTTGGTTTGTATTCTTTGGTTTGTTTTTAAGTATCTCTTATTCCTTTGTAAGTCTGTAGTTTCAACTTGCCGAAAGGATTTTGTTCTACAGATCTCATTGTGTTTCTTGACGTTTTCCCTCAGCCCTGCTGTTCATTTCTATCCAGGTTACTCTGTATTTTCAGTCTGACACTTCTAACTGCTGCACAGTTCTCCACACTGGACAGCTGTCTACCACACTTTGCCCCAGTTCCCTTACTGGGATTCCATTTTGCCGGTACTTCTTGCGATACTGCAATGAGCAGTTTGAAAATGTACAACCAGGGAATTAATGAAAGAGTCACTGTTTCCAGGAAGATGCCCGTGCTCCATCTTACTGCTTCCATCCCGAGAAAGCCCTGCTTCTTGCCAGGAAAGTTCCGCTTCTCTTTGATGAAACAGCCATTTGGTTTGGCGGCCTCAGCATCGCTGGTATTAGGAAGCTCTCCTTAGTGTCAGTGTGCTTGGTGCTTTCCACGCACTAACCAACAACAGCCCTGTGAGTAGGTGCTACTGGCATCCTTTTCGAGATGAGGACACTGAGGCCCAAAGAGGTGAAATAAGAACCCCCAGGCTCTTAACCTGTTTGCTTCAGCATCTTTCTGTAGTAGTCACTGTGCTAGGTCTAGGGATTCAGGGCTGAGCAAAAGCTTTTTTCCTGCTCCCAGTCTGTGGGAATTCCCTTGTCAGATACATGTATAAATAGTTTTCTAGCCTGGGGCTTGTTTTTTGTGTCTCTTCCCTCTCTTATTAGTGCTTAATTCTAGTGTAATTAATTTTTTCTATGTTTAGTGATTTTTATGTCTTAAAGAAATTTTTCCTTACTCTAAGGTCATCCTTGTTTTGTATTTTAGAGTTTTGCTTTTTCCAATTAAGTGAAATCCATTTGAAATCCTTTGTGTGAAGTATTTAACTTTATGTCTCTCCACATGGATACCAAGTTCTCCCATCACTGTTTATTGAATGATCCGACCTTTCTTCCCTGCTTTACAGGGCCAGCTATTGGTACATCTGTCAAATTTCCCTAGATGAACACTGGTTCTGGTTCCCCGTCTGATCTTGTTCTCTATCTCTCTCTCACATCTTTTCTTTTTCCCCAAAAACATAAATGGTAGCCATACTGTGCACAGTTTTGTTTGTATCATTGTCTTTACATTTACAATTTGCTTAAAGATCCCTCTGTGTAGTATACTTGGATGTGCCTCTTGTTTTTCCAGTTTTCTAGCTGTAAGGTATTCATACCATCATACGTATATACCATACTTAATTGATTCCAAGATGCCATAAATTATAAGATACACCATTACTTCCTGCACTGAAATAGAAAAACATTGCCAGTTAAAGCTGTGATAATATTTTCCCAATACTCCTGAGTGATTCATGATTATTGGTCATACCAGGCTCTTTTTTTTAATGTATATTTTCTGAGGACATCTGGAATTTCTCCTGCTGTCAGTTGCTCTTCTGGGCTTGTGGTACGCATTTTTATTTTTCTGTGTGTCTTAGTAATAAAAGCTAACACTGCTTTATCTTTCTGTACATTTGTTCCTACCACATGTCCCATTAGAAGACTTGGTTGTTGCTTTGCAAGAAAATATTAAATTACATTTGTTTAATGTTATTACACATATTTGTTCCACTAATATCAAATACATGTCCTACTCTTGATTTTGTGCCTTTCTGTGCAGTAGCACTCTTTTTAGTTACTGTATGATTCAGCTAAATCATCCCATAACTTTTAGAAGACATTTTCAATGGCAAACTTGACACGTATAGCATTACCGATGCCCACGAGACATTGGCGTTGCCATCAGTGTGAACAGCTAGCTCCAAGCCTGCCCACGTCAGCTTTGCCATGACTGCTATTGAGCTATAGCTATTGTAAAATTCTGAGTTCAGATTTCAGACATGCTAAATGTGAAAACAATGGACATTTTAGAATTTGTGAAATGTGGTAGTTTGATTTATATAGCAAGTGTCCTAGTCAGCCATAATGTTGATATAACAAACATGAGAATCGTCATTCAAAAATTGAGTAAAGCAGAATAATTACATTTGGGAATCTTAAATATCTAGGCTTTCTTTAAGAAAGCTATTCTGTAGACATATCCCCTAGTGCACATAAAGGCATATATTTAAGGATATTTATTGCAGCTCACACAGTTTGCTGATAAACAGTGTGAGTGTGTAAGGAGACATGTCAAGTTTTCCTTTGGGCCAAAGCAACTGACTAGCAATGATTTGTTGTGATGCAGAAGAGTGGGGGGGGGGTATTATTGTTGTTATTTATTTGTTGAAGTGATGATAGGTGGAATCAAGAGTTTAGTTTTGGATGTGGTCATTTAAACTGGTGATGTCAAGTAGGGGTGTAGATTTACAAGGGTGAACTTTCAGATAGAGTTTGGAATTTACATGATAACATTGTAACATTTAACATAAAATGCAAATAAAGCCAAAGTATTCGAGGGAAGAACTGTAGATAATGATGAAATGAGGACAGGAAATAAGCCCTGGGGCAGGACAGCATTTAGAAGAAAGGAAAA